CGGCTTGGGTTCGTTGCCCAGCATGCCTGGGTTCCAAAAAAAAAAAAAGAAATTTCTGTTTTCTTTGTTTGGGTTTTGTTGTTTGATGATATGAGAAATTGATTGATGAAGTTGAAGAAGGCAAGGTAGCAGTTGGGTTTTTGCAGATGGATGAAGATGAGGAAGGCATAGGTGCTGGGTTCGATTTCGAACCCAGCAAGCAATCGAACCTAGCAGCCGCTGGGTTCCTGCAGGTGCTGGGTTCGAAATCGAACCCAGCAAGCACTGTGTTCAAGCTGGGTTCCTGCAGGTGCTGAGTTTGATTTGAACCCAACAGGCATTGGGTTCCGTTTCGAACCCAGCAACCGTTGGGTGAATGGATCTGTTGAGTTCCATTTGTTTATTAATCTCTTGTCTGTTGGGTTCTGTTTCAAATCCAGCAGTCGTTGGGTCAATGGATCTGTTGAGTTCGATCTATTTATGGATTTGTTATTTGTTGTGTTATCCTCATATTTTTGCAGGTTCTAGATTCAATTTTAAACCTAGCAAGCGTTGGGTTTTGTTTCCAACCCAACTGTAGTTGGATCGAAAGATCTATTGATTTTTATTTGTTGGTTTGTTGTATTATTCTCAGATTTAATATTAGGAAATGTTAGGGTTTGCAAAAGGTGAAAGGAAAGGGAGAGGAAGAAGAAAGGGCAAAAAGAAAAACAAAGAAAGAAAAAAAAAATTTTTTTTAAGGTAATTTTTTGTCATCTCATTTCTTTACCATGCTGTCATCCTAGGTGTCAAAATGTTTTAACATGTCATCCTTTTCTCCGTCAAGTAACAAGACACGTAGGCGAATATTTAACGGAAGGACCAAATCGGGGTTAAAATGGTAAACAGTAGGGACCAAATCAGGGATTTTTTTAGTTTAGGGATCAAATCGGGGGTTCGTACAATAGTTCAGGGACCAAAATGGGGTTTTAACCTTTTTGATACATTAAAAATTTGGTGTGACTAGCTGTAGGAGTTTGAAATTGGGAGATCTTGCTGTCTTCCCGGCTATTGACATTAGTTATTGATTAACAATAGAGAGAATAGTTCTAGGTTCTAAAGAGAGGAGGGCTATCGGTTATCCGAGCGGTGCTATCTCTAGCTCGGCTCTTAACTGAGCGAGTATGCACTGTTTATAAATGGTTAAAATTCTATTTTGATTTATAAACTATTGTATGGACTCTTAATTTGGTCCCTACTATTTACTATTTTGACCTTGGTTTGATCTTTCCATTAAAAGTCTTATTACGTGTGTTGTTAATTCACTATTATGAGATAACGTGATAAAATATTAATACACATGGCAAAAATAATAATATAAAAATAATAAAACTTTTAAATTTTTTTTTTCTTTTTCCTTCTCTTTCCCTTTCTCTTTACCCTTTCCCTTTAGAACCCATCGAACCCAGCAGTCACCACTGGGTTCATTCGAACTCAAGCGTTAGGTTCATTCGAAACCTAGCATTGGGTTCGTTCAAACCCAAGCGCTGGGTTTGTTGGAATCCAGGCTTGGGTTCGTTCAAACCTAGACATGCCCCACAAGAAAGAATATTCTTTTTCTTCCCGTCTCCGTGACAAAAATCTTTGCGATGTTTCACGTAAATCGAAAAAAATTGCCATCCCTAATGATGTGTGACTCAAACATGGCTGCAGATATTGTGAGTAAGATGGGGCATAATATTGTAGAAGAACTCTTGTGTTTAAGTTAATGGTATTTTGTCTTTTTCTACCAAAAAAAAATCAAATAGAAAAAAATTATTTTATTTATTATTAATTAATTAATTTTATGTTAATATAAATCTTATTTTGAATCTTACATATCTAATTTTTAAATAATATTAGAAGTCAAATTTCATTTAG